TCTAACAGAGCGAATTCAGTACTTCGATCAAACGCGCGTGTCCGCTCCCAGTGTGAACAGGTATTTGGCATTTGCGTGGCTCTTGCTGACACCCTCGTAGTTCAAACATATCCTTTTTAACGTCGGCTTGCAGCTCGCGACTCGCAGCAACTAATACCGGCCGTGCCAGAAGCATGCTCGGGCCGTGTCGTGCAAAGAGCCGCAACGAGAACGAGCTCACTGTGGCCAACTACGCTTTGGCTTTCTCCGCCAAGGCTTTGCGAACGCGTTCAGGCCTAGGCGAATTCTGCCGGCACGCCGTATTGCCGCAGAACGGCGCTGCTATTTTGGCACAAGTGATGTCACGAGAACTTCCCCCCATCCACCAGATGAGAATTTGAAATCGTTTAATTATGTTTAAAATTAGTTCTCCTGTGTTTTACAGCGCAATATTTATATTTCCGAGGTGGTGCCTGTCCCTAGCCCATATTTATGCAACAAGATCGGCGCTGAAATTTCGTTTCACTACCCCTTTAAATCTACGTTGTCTTCGGTAGGCATAGGGTGAAGCCCTTTACAGTAGAGTATCAAGTGCTCAGTCGTCTCGTCATCCTCTCCACAAGCAGTGCACACTGCATCCATTTCCTGGTTCTTCGCTCTGTACACACTTGCACTTCACCTGGCGCCATCTGTCGACATTCGTTTGCACTACCGCGGCGGCTGCTAAATTGCCTCAACGCGGCGCAGCTTGTATGGTTAAAGGGTTACATTGGAGTGCCTCAGTGTTGCTGGGGGGCTGCGCCTTGCTAGGTTGGCGACACGCTCTGGGAGGGAAAGTGCCGCCTTTTCGGCCGCGGCCACTACTTTTGCCTCCCGCGACGTAAGACAGGTGGATCGCCTTGTGTGCCCGTGAAAATGCCGAATAATGAAGTCCTCTTTGAGGTCGGGATAAGTTAGTCCAAGTAGAGGCTTCCTCGGCTCGGTAAAGCGCGATCCAAACCAACGCGTTTTTGTGAGCGCGTAGGCCGTGCGCTTCCCGGAAATTGCGTATTTCGTGACGTCGCGCCGATTCCTTGCAACTTCCGAGCGCGCATAAGAAAGGTTGGATGATTTCATTCAACTTCTGAACGCGCACGAAAACGTGCTGCGACGTAGTGGGGCGCTCGTCTCGTGGCCAATCGGTGGAGGGCACCAGTTCCGGCTCCGCGTTTCTTCGCCGTCTGGCGGAGATGCTCTCCGCTCGCCCGAAAGCGCACCGTTCTAACCAACGCGGACCGCTGTAACTCAGAAAGCGCACCGAAGCAGCAAAAACTTCTCGAAATGCGCAATTTCAGGGAAGCGCACGACCTTCGCGCGCACAAAAACACTGTAGTTTGGATCGCGCTGTATGCAACGGACCACCGCAAATGTTTTCGCAGTATCATAGATGCATTGCCGAAAACAAACGCATAGTCGGGGGAACACGTGATTTATATGTTCCCAAAGTTATCCCCCGTCATTTCACGAATGGTAATGCTCAGTAACGGCGTAAACATTCATAAACGGTAACATAAGAGTGGGAGGCCAGATGGCAGACGACGGAGTTGTCCTCACTCTGGGAGAGCCGCCATCCCAGCAACATTGAGGCTTTCTAGGTTAAATAATTTTGTGCTGGAGGTCAACAAACCGGCACGTTCGCTCCCAGGAGCTGTGGGCGCACCGCATGCACAGAAACTCACGTTTAAAAGAACAAAGCATCTGTGCATTCGCAGTTCCACGGCCAAAAATACCACCTTGGCGCGACATTAGCAACTCGAGCTCGCGTATACCTTTCAAATGTGTATAGAGCTCTATAACGTAGGATGGTACTTATTAGGAATATCGATAAATATAAGGTAAAACTCATTTTGAGGGGAGGTGCCAACGATAGGCACAAACCTAATGTGGTGTGTTCGGCGTTAATTTTCATTTTCCCGGTATCTTCCATGCAAGTACCATGGTATTTATTTATTTATTTATTTATTTATTTATTTATTTATTCAAAGTACCTCAAAGGCCTGTCGGCATTACATGAGAGGGGGTTATACAGTCTGATTAACACGAGGAAGGAATGGCAGGGAGCACGCCGACTCCATACAAACAACAATTTACATGAATGTAGAGTTTATATTGATCATGATAACGAACTGCAGGCCTTCTGAGAGGGGCGCACCTTTTTGCTTCTTTCATCTTGTTGAAATCATGAAATAAACGCCGATTCCTGATGCCTAAAATGACCTAAGCCGGAGACAATTAGGCATGATGTACCGCTAAGACCTGTGACACAAGGTATAGTGAAAGTTCTACGTCCCAGCAGTTCCGTCGTTTTGTGACCCGCACTGCTGACAAGTCAGCTCGGACGCACCGTCGACGAGGCCCAGTTTCGTAGATCTCATTTCCGCCCCGACTTTCGAAACTAGGAGCGAGACCTCGTTTTGTGCTTCTGACAGGATCGGCTGCAGCCCTGTCTGTAGCACTGCGGAGAAATTACAGGGCCCGGGCGGTTGGCGTCGCTTCTCGCCGACAAAGCTAATTGCGGGCCAGGCCGTAATTCAGTTGGGCCCTCTCGAGAATTCGGAAATGGGTAGCTTCCAAAAACAAAGCAAAAAAAAAAAAAGAAAAAAAAGTGAAGGAACCCAATTTTAAAATACATCGCCTGTCCCGTGTCCGTCATCGGCTGCTGGAACCGAGAGGTGGTCGCCAAAAATAAACAAAGAACAATAAGAAATGAAAGCCAACCAAATGGCTTCTCACTCGCCACTTCCGAGACCTGCTCATTCGCGCAGTACTTTATTTTTATTTTTTGCTTTACGCGTGGATTGTGTTATCACACAACGTGCCTCGGAGGGATCTGCTGGATGTCAACCAAAATAATAATTACGACCACTAAAAGGAAAAAAGAAAAAAAAAAATGCGATCTACGCGTCGTTGTGGGCCTCTACCTATATACGAGGCATGTCAAGAGGACTACGTCCTCGGGCACTAACTTCGCGATGAAGTTGAGACCGGTTGTAAGTATACCTACACCGGTCCCCACGCCCTATCTTTCTTTCGTGGTCAGATAGGCAGAGTGTCCATCTTCGGGAGGACGGCGGCGTTATCCTGACCGCGCTCGTCCAACAAAACAAGCAACGTCAAACAAAATTAAAAAAAAAGGAAAATATGTTCACTTGGAGTGAACCGGCGGCGGCGGCGGCGGCGGCGGTGGCACTGCATTACCTCGTCGCCTCTTCCGTGTCGATCGGTCAGTGGGAAGTTCCAACGCGTCGCGGTAACCTAGAATAACCGCGTTGTTCTGGCACGGTTATCGAGCACTCGAGTGAGCCCCCGTTAGACTCCGTTCACACCTAAGCTGCCCGTGCGGTAGGAACTACCGACTCGCCGGACCTGTCCCTTTCATCATGAGCAAGGCCCCGCTTTCCGCGCGTGGGTATGGGCGGGATCCTGATCACGAGGTGAAAGACAGGCGTACGATGAGTCCGAGGAGCACGAAGCTTCCACCGCGCTGTCAGCTTAGAGGTGAACGGAGGAGAATATACGATGAGGCGGCACTCCTCTGTGACCACGGCAGAAACCGGCTGTATAGTCACGGCCCCGCGCTCAGAAATGATACAGACAGAAGAGGCGTTCCCGCGATCCAATTTTTTTCCAGCGCTTAAATTTAAACATTCGGTTTTATTTACGTGTGTTTTTATTTAGTTATTTTTGATACGGAAGAGTCAGCTTATATTTGAGTTTATATCAAGTTTCGGAACTGAAGAATAATTAGTAGAACTTGGCAACTGATTGATTAACCTTCCGGTTAGTAGATGAATTAGCGATCAACCTTTTTAAACGGTTGATCGGTTAAATTTTGGATTATACGTTTTTCTTTTTTCTTCTTCGTTTGTGTGTGAGGAGAAAGTGATTTTTTTACCACTGGTGCGCATCTCGTATTTTATGGAGTAACGCAGTTGTACTCCACGGTAAAACTCTTTAGCATTCCCTACGATCGTAATCCAGAGTGATCATCAGGTTTAGAAAAATCATGCCAAATGTACAGTTCAGATTATTTGTGAGCGAACGTTCGAGAGCAAACGCTGGAGAGGAGGCGACCTCCTCTTCAGCGTTTGCTCCGCTAAAGTGAAAAGAGGTGTCTGTATACAGGAGGCTTCGTTCGGATGCAATCGCTAAATTAATATTATAATTTTTTTTAAAGTTTGCTGTTTGTTTTGTTTGGCATTGCACGGGCACGTACAGTATTGTACGAGCGCTGCGTCAATGTCGCTTGATGGACTTTTGAAAGGGGTATTTTTAATGCAAACTAAACGCCGTAACGGAGCTGACCTAAACCGTTTACCTAAATTCGGTCAAAAAAAAGAAAAAACGCTAGTGGCATACGAGCTGGAACTATACACTTATAATCCGCTTCCCTAATTGCGAGTGTACCAGCAGCAACAACATCGAAGCTCAGGGCTTTAGGCGGCGTCCCGGGTACTATGCGAACTCGTGAAGTGCAAGCATCGTTAGGTGGTAACATGGTCGCGGTTTTAGCGTCGGCTAGGTGGCATAAGCTACCGCCCGTTACAAAGGATATAAGCCAGTAACATCCATCCACCCGGCTTCGCTAGCGCATGCTCCACAGATGGCGGTCACGCTGCCAGTACATAATCCCAAAGACAGTAAAGACAGCCTGCACAGACTCTCTGAGGTGTAGCTCTTTCTAGTATGAAGATAATGTAACACCGGCCATAGAAGAACTGTTTGCCGACATGTTTGAAGCACTTATGAAACAAGCCTGCCTCGAATATGCTTGAGGCGCGTCCGCAAATAATTCTCTCATCATGTCTGCACTCCATCTTCATTGTACAATGTATGAGCAGTGTGCTTACGGCTTTAGTGAGCCCCTCACAGGCACGAATCAATGGGGCTGTGCTGTATTTTCTACCATTCTATTCAATAATAATTAAAAAAAATGACACGCGCAAATAAAAACATAAAAAAAGCGAGCAAATGTCACTCACGCTTTTGGCTTTCTGCGCTGCTTTGGAGAGATCGTTGTAGTCGGGGTGGTGTTTGGGTGTCGCTGATGCCAGCTGCGACAGGTACTGCTCATACTGCAGCAGGCGTTCCAACTGCAAAGACACAAAGGCAAAATACGAAATCAGCCAAAATCGCTTGTCTGTTATTGTTCGTTGTACTTTTAATCGCCCAGTAACTCTTCGCCGTCCGACGTTCAACTCTGACCATGTACGCTGTCATTCTTAATTATGTTTCGCAATCCTCGCCCCCCCCCCCCCCCTCCCCAAGTAATAAAAAAAAAAAAAAATCGACAATGTCTTCGACGCGTCACGACTCCGTCTCGATCGGCTTTCTCCGCCACACGACTTCTGTGTCGGGTCCCCCGGGTAAACGTTCACGAAGCTCGTGTCCGCCAAGATCGCCACGACAAGCTTGTGCAACCGTGTCGTTCCGTCCGCTTCGTCCAAATCACGCGTCGTGTCACGAGTGTATACCTTCGTACATTCGTTAGCTGTCGATAGCCTGTCTTTGCTGGAGTGCTTACAAAACCTCCGACCATGTTTCGCCGTCGGTGCAAGAAGAACGCGTTGGGGGAGGGGGCTCCATGTTTCTAGGTTCGCGAACCGTCAGATTTCAGAGTGCTTCCGACTGCTGGATCGGACACACGTGATTTATGGGCCCCGGTTTGTAATACAAGCTGCGCGAGTCAAAGTCGTCTATCGATCGTTCGTCTGAGAGCGTCTCCGCCTTGCTGCGTCCCTCTCAACCCCCGCTACTCTCCTCGCCACTCGATAACTCGCGCATGTGCACTTGCACATGCAACATATACGTATACAGGCTAACCACTAGAGTAGCAGCAGTGCAGTACCGCCACATACTTGCTATAGTTGTGCATGCCCCCCTTACACACGCATACACCGAAAAAAATGTCAGTGGCTTAGCTTGGCTATGCCAGGATATACCTAGCGTGAGCTTATGCGCACAAAATGAGGCGCTATCAAGCGGCTCCGGTGCAGCGTCAGACTTGGCTACTGCGCAACGGAGGCGGACAGCTGGGCACGCGGCGGCGCCAGTGCGTCTGCCGCCGCTATGACGTCACTCCTCTGGAATGTGCAGACCGGCGAGGCGCGCGCGGAGGCGGCGGAGCGCGCGGCGGCGGCGGCGTCTCCGGTGCGCCAGCTGTGCGCCGTGTGACGTCACTGCTCCCCGCGCTTGCGCAGCACGGAGCACGGCTCATTATGCGAGCCACGCGAAACTGCTCAACCTCGGCCAGTGTAGCCCACGCTACAAAACAAAGTTCTCACAATTTATAATGACGACGTTACTACTACGCAACTTTCCAAAGGAGATACCAGCACTCTGGTTCTCTTGCAAGTAGCAAATTGATATCGAAAGCATCCCAACCCCCATCTGTTTCATGGCTGTCCGCGAGAAAGGAACGATTGTTTCTACGAAAACGTATCATCGTTGTTCCCATCATACCGACCGATCGAAAAGATGTGTTGTGAAACACGGCCTGGCACACTAATGGATCGCACCGAAAGTAAGACGTCAACTCTAAACGGCGCCGGTGTATCGAAAAGCAGCAACGACGCATATACTGAAGGTTTCGAAACCCATACCGGCGGAGCGGGGCGGAGTGCGTTACTGAGTTAACGGACGCAATCCCATTAAACGCCTTCCAGTCCGCATGTACCAAAAGTTTTCTTTTTTCTTCTTCTTTTTTTGACGAGACGTCGGTTTAGAGACAATAGCCACTGCACTACTTCTTTGCCGCGTACCGGAAACAAAGTAGACTCCGGGGCACGCGCTTTCCCCGAGTGCGAACGGGTCGTGCGAGACAATGGAGTCCGCCAGCGGGAGAACGATGGGAGTCCTTTGAGTTCGCGCTCTTTGCAGTCACTCGAGGTTTATGATATTGCAGTTCCAAGATTCGAAGTGCAATCGGAACAATAGAATGCGTATACGTTTTTTTTTTTTTTTTTCTTTTCGCGTCGATGTATGCGAACGCTTTAATATCTGCAGGGCGTCACATATCCAAGGCCCTTCGGATTTTGTTTTTCTCAATAGTTTGGGGGGGGGGGGGGGGGGAGAGATATTTGCACTGCAAGGTGCGAGCTGGTCGGCCCAATCAAAGAGCATCAAAAAAGCACCATCATTGTGTTCGTCATGTTTCTGTACGTGTGCCATCGTCGCTGAACAAATCATGAACAGAAAAGTCCTGGTGACTTGCGCCTTTGACGCAGCTTTATTGATTCCATTACCTCGTAGCGTGTGCTGCGTCTGTACGTAAGCTGAAACGAAGTATAGCACTCAAAGATGTTAATCAAAGATGTATTAGGATGCTTGTGCAACGCGATGCTGTGATCGCTGATCGGTGCAAAACCTTGAGTCGCTCTCTCAATGTCTTTATAATTTATCTCATCATCGACATCGCACGCAATTGCGTAAAACAACAACACTAAGCGTCGACAACATCAGGCTGTATAATCGAAGAGGAGGCAAATCTTTCGGCAGTATAGCATTAGCGTCGCCAGCGAAACAGATGCCGCGAAAGCTCGAATAAAAATATGTGTATGATTCTCTAAGTACCCTTGGCCCAGCGAGGTCGATCCACTGAATTAGTTATTCACGTCATATTCAGCGTACACTCACGCGGGGTGGAGACAATATAATTTTATCCGTCCCACGGCGGGAGTTACGCGGAGTTAATATCGGCGGTTGGATTTCGCAAATCGCGCTCAGCGGTGCGTGCGTCCTTTCTTTTCGATTAATCGCTAGTGCACTTACCGGCATGATCCGGGGCACAAAACGGTATCGTACTGCATTCTCCGCAAGGCGCCATCAAGCGGTAGCCATTTGTCTTCGCCAATACGGGTACACCCCGCAATCTCCACAATCGATTCCCTCTAGGAGTGAGTAATGACCACGCGTGTTTGTTTGGAGCGGCCTTCTGTGCGCGGAAGTGAGCCAGTACACCGATTCACTCTCCGACATCCTCATCAAGTTTTACGCGAGAAGATTTACAAAGGGGAGTTAAATTCACGACGTCACTGGTAACTTTGAAACTTGAAAGACCGTTTGGCTTTCCGCCCTATACTGAGAGCGCATTGACTTCTCTTGTGGCACAACCTTGCCTGTGGGTTGTCTTTCGGCGAAGATGCGCGGTGGCACTAGCACGTCCACTCTGCTGTGTGTTTGGGAATCCCTGATGCGTGATGCGAATAAACGCTGCCGGAAGTTGGGATTACCGTTTGGTATGGCGTCACAATTGGTAGTCTTTGCAGTCTATGCCGAACGAACCCGGCGCGCAGTGACCGCTTTGCTGGTAGTTTTTTTTTTTTTTTCCGCGTGGTGGAACTGGTACCGACCGGAAATGGGGAGACCCGGAGGCTTCGTAACCTTTGTTCCATTCGATCAAGTGCGGTGCGTTCACTTGAATATCTTTGAATACCTACTATATAATGTACAGATTCCTTACTTATATAACCTGGGTCAATTCTTTTATTTTGTCTCGCGGTTCAAATTCTACAGACTGCGTCGCCTCCTGCTTCGTGCCTTAAATGTTTTCTTTCTCCGTATACTGACCCAACGGCCTTTCTGATTTCGATGTCTCAAGGCCACACGTAGCAGTCCCTAATATAACACGCCTAAACTTGATTTCTTTCTTCTACATCTGCACATTGTTCACCGTACACAAAACACGCACCAAACAATGATTTTTTTTTTTTTTTTTTTGCTACCGAAAGTTTGAGCAAAGAAGCACACGCTAAATGGGTCTTTGAGCAACCCTCTTCTGATCACTCGTCGCCTTGGCCGTTATCGCTCACGCAATAATCCGCCCGATAATCTCTCAAGGTGAAGCCCCGCAGGGAAAGTCAATTCATCCGTCCTTGAATGGAAGATGATCGAATAGAACGTATCGGGCAGTAGGTCGCGGCTGTTTTTCTGCCGAGCAGAAGCCGTGTGCAAGGCCGACTACGGGATCGGATCTCGGAGTGTGCTTTTCAAGCGAGCGGACACATCAAAGAGCTGCACCAGGGAGGATGCTCTTTCGTCTTCGAAACTCAAGCAGGCGAAGTCTGCCTAAGTTTCAAACTACTGACGTCCGGTTGCCGTTTATTCAATTTGTGAAGCGTAGAATTCATCCGCTCCCCTGAGATTGTTCCCTGCCGTTGCGTAGACCGACAATGTCGCCTGACTTTCGCAGTGTCGTCTGATGAACGCCAAGCCAGCGACAACAATCACCTGCGCGGTAGTATAGAACCTTTGATTTGAGGAGGCTCAAGCAGAAAGACGTAAAGAGCAGTTATGGGTACGTCACATCGCGGTAGAAGCTGTATGTTTAGAAGAGCTTCGCGTACGAAACTGGATAGAACTACGAACAAAACATAAACACTTCCTTTTTTACCACCTCTTATAGTTCAGAGATTTAGACATACTATACTAAGTGAGATGTAAAAGAAAGCGGAGGAGGAGGGGGAAAAAGGGGGTGGATAGGTACCTTGACATCCCCTCTAGCGCCTGGTATACCTGCATTTCGACGCCCTCGAGGCTTCGAAGCATTTCGCGCAGTTCTCTCCGGGGCACGCCCCCACATTCGTTTGTTTTATCTTATTTTTAACGCTCGGGGAACATCACTTTCGCACGTTCGTGACGACAGCTCGGTGCATCCGTCCGCCCAAGCGCTCGGAGTCTGGCGCGTGTACAACCATGTACAACCCTCCGCAGCAGGCGTAGAAGCGGCGACGGCATACCGAAGTCACTCATCCTTAAAATATAAGCCGCGCATCCCCCCCGGCCCCGTCTCGCGGTCGGCGCAACACCCTAGAATGCGTGGGCGGTTCTGGAAGCGCCGCGCTTTCGTCGACGACGCCCTGCAAGAAATGCTGCGTGGAGCTTCGCACGTGTCCTCCACCGAGGATCAGAGCCAGATTCCTACACCTCGACTCGGTATACTAGAGCGTTATATCGCATTGAAAAACTTCATAATAACAAAAGCAGTTCGAATAAAGAAAACAAAAATATCGGTTCGCCGGATATCAGGTAATCGGATTTCCCAAATTCGCGTAAGAGCGCTTAAAAAAAGAAAAAAAAAAAAGACGGTTAGAAT